GAACCGTATCGCTCCCAGAAACTCATTCTTAGGCAGAGTGCAATCCTTGGAAATAAAACTCCATTGCTCATTCACACAATCAACCGCTATTTCTAATAGAAGATTCGTAAAAAGTGATGTAACGTTCAATGAAATTAATTTATGTTCGCCTGTAATGTATAATCTTTTTAATTTTTTAACTAATTGAAAGCTATTTTTAATGTAACTATCCGCTTCAGGAATAGTCTTGAATAGTAGCATATTGTGCAAGTATATAGCCAATGCATATAACGGACTGCCTATCAATGAGATTATAATTCTGAGAGGACAACCAGGTTTGTGAATCTTCGGCAATCCATAGACTCTTAATCGGAAGTAATCGTCACTACAATATAACATTTTGTACTTAGAGTCCTTGATATAATCTTTTGTTTTCTATCTAGTGAGCATAGACCTTAAAGCTGTCATAAGTTTTTTGATAGGATCTTTTCTTAATCGGAACATACGTGTCTGAATCACCTAATAATGTTGTCATTTTATTCGTGTATGTGTCTTTGTTCGTAGCAACCGTGACGTTATCTTTGTCAGCGTGCGTGAAAATAATATTAGGATGCGCCGATACAAATGTACAAGTGTCAGATTCCATTTTTAATAATTGTTTGTCTGTAGGAGATAAAAATAGGAGAAGAGATGATTTTATTCAATATAGGAATAGAATGATTCATAACTTCAATTCTCCTATCAATAGGCATTCTCTGTGTGCTACTCTCAACAGCCTTTATGCATTCGAAGATTATTTTATTTTTGTTATTAAAAGGAAGCCCGAAATTCTCTCCCAATTGTAAAAAACATTGAATGTTACAAGGAATGTCAAAGGAAGATAAGTTCAAAAACCATCCATCTCTGACTGTGGTTAAGGAAGATGACCTCTGTGAAGGAAAAGCATTGGGATGTATAGAAATAAAGGAACTAGGAATCAAACTATTCTGTGAATCAAAAGAAGGATTAGTAACAAGGTAGAATGTTCACGAAAGTTGAAGGAACTGAAGAGTTTACGAATGCTGAAATCAACGGAAATTTGCGAAAAGAATCGTATCTATATTATATGTATATAAATGATGTTATTTCAATAATTTTTAGGTCGCAGTGAATATGCTTTGTTGGTGCTAGACGCTAAATCGTTGAATTACAGTAAATAATTATACGATATAATACATTATAAGAAGTCGACTATAATCATTCAATGAGATTTTCGACGGCAAAGCAAGAAAATACTAAGTAAGAATATTCAAGCTTATAACGGTCAAAGCTACATCTTTAATGCTTAAATAATTCAATGTGAATTGTATATATACTATATATGTATATGTACACGCATCGGTAGGAATGGTGTCCCTGGCGTTCGATGCGCGGCGCTACATACTCGAAGCGCACACATACGTGATACTGGAAACGCGGAGGAGACGAGGAGTGTGAAAAGAGAGTAGTGGGAGAGGAGGCGTTCCGATATTCTGTCCTTAGCGCAAGGCGCATTGAGAGAGAAAGCGTAATTGGACGTGATGCTGGCTTGCGGTATCCTTTCGCTATCTCACACATTTGTTATTAGTACGAGTGATACCCCGGTGTCTCTCACTCATATTCGCCAATATTCATAATACTTTTATTATGCACAAAATGTTGTAATTATGCATAAAAAATTTTAATGCTGTAAAAAACTGTAAAAAATTTATAAATAATTACAACATTACGTGTAATTTTAAGACTCCTTGTAATAACTTTGCATGCAATTATAAATTTGCAGTGTGCAATGAAATTAATATTTTGTATCGTAAGATTGCAAAATTAAATTTACAGTTAAATATAAGAACATATAATAAAATAAATTAAAAAAATATAATATAATATAATACCGCGCGCTGAACGCCAAGAAACCCATCATTCCTGCCGGTGTACATGCATATACATATACCATATCTATAGCTATTATTTTAAAGCAAGAAAAAAGAAGTGAATAGGAAAATTCAAAATTTGTAGGATTTTGCATCTGGAAGTTTATTACATAAATATTTTATGAATACTTTGCATACATATAATAATAATGTA